CAAATAATCTGGTTGGCTCTCAGAGTAAGACAATCTATCACCTATGGCGGTAGCGACTTTTCCCCAAGATCTCATTACGGGAAATTTGTGAGGACGTTTTGAGACGGCAACGAATAGATTTTGGCTATTTTTGAGCAAGTTTATTTGTAAATCCGGAATTTGTACACATCTTAAGAGTATAAAACCTCCATCTGGTCGCACTGTTTTCGGCTCCAGATCAATGACAATTATGATTATGCATATCCTTAGTCACTTTGGGGTGGCTGAACATATTGCCAGCGTTGACTGGGACATGTTCCTGTTGTTTCCTACTGTTTACCGTCAACACATACGATGGCCCGATAGCGGCCCCTTGCTCTGCATCTCTGGACTGCTGATAGTCTCAGGGAACCTTCTACCTTATATCAGTCTACTTTCGACATGAATTGACGGCTCAGGCGGTTGTCATGCTTCATATACTTTGGAAGTTTCTAACCTCAGAATCTCTTATTTGGATTCCTCTTGATTGGAATTGTAACTACTTTTCTGAGCAACTAGGTTACCTTTTTTGTTTTTTCCCATGGGTCACAAATATGCACTCTTTATTCTCAAACTGGGTCTCCTTGCCACCAGCTATCGCTGTGCGTACTGCTTCTACGTCCACATCGCTTATAAAACTCATCTACCCACTTAGTTTTCCTTTATCCGACTCTGTTCCCCTTTCTCTGTAGATCCTACGCCAAGGAAGTGACATACGCCGGCAGTTTGCATGAACTCTTAGGGTATGGTATTGGCGTTTTCCAAGGTCTTTCAAACTTCGTTTTAAACGGTAGGTTTAACCTCCCCATCCTTCCCGTGCATTTATTTTGAAGGCTTCACCACCTGCACCACTTTCCTTTGCCTCATGCACAACCTGTTTTCCCCCTCCTGTCTTCAAAGGCGTGGTACTGGGTGTCTTGTACCTGGGTGGCAATCTAATTGCTCGAAATGAGCTGGAGGCCGGCGAATTGATGTCCTTCCTTGTCGCGACCCAATCGGTGCACCGATCTTTGACTCAGATTTCCCTCCTGTTTGGCAGCGTCGTTCGTGGCATGTCCGCGGCCACCAGGCTCGCAAAGGTAGTCAAAACCATCAATTTTACCGTCCTTACCATAGAAAAAAACACAGTGCAAACCCATAACCGCAACCAGTCCAGTGGATGCCTTACTGATCATGCTGTTCGTCAACGCATCGTGGATGTTGATGCACAGA